GCAATGAGGCCCGCTCCTGGCTTGGGGCAGCAAGGCTATCCTAAGGGCTCTCCCAACTAACGGCTCTAATGCCTCCTACTCCTCCTACTACTCCTACTACTCCTCCCCCGCCCAGCCTCACAGACTAACCTTTATAGAGGTGGTTGAGCTTTGCCCACACACAGGTGGCCAATGGGATTTCAACTCACCTCAGTAAATATATGCGTGCCCCACTGATTGGATGTCTCCATCCGGCCTGGCCCACCCCTATATCCGGGGTTTACAAGTAAGTTCCTCTGGGAGGGGCAGGCACTTACACATGTAGAATGCATAAATTCTTCTCTCCATATATCCATTGATGGATTTCAGGATCCACTACCCCAAAATATGGTGCCTTGTTGTACTGAATATCTTACACCAAAGGAGTTTGAGAAAATGGCAGAAGCAGAAAGGTCACTCTGATCTCCCTAGCCCCTCAACCCTCTCCCTGAAAATAGATAATTAATCTCCCACATAAAGGGGGTTCTTCCTGTACCAGGAGGAGAGGAAACATCCTCATTACCAGAGATAGGGAATTTAGGGTTGAGAGGGCTGTATAAACAAAACTTGTTAATTCACCATTTACCACGGCTAGTGCAAACCCCTCTGCCTTGTCCATTCTTCACAAATTTATTGTTTCTTTGTCTAAAAGGTATGAAAGTTTTCTGCTGTGGTCACTTTTTTGGGTCTCCATCATATTGTGAAGGCTCCTATATTTTCTTCTACTGTTATGTGACAAAGATATTTCTTTAAATTTTTTCTGACCGACTTTCTTATTTAGATTTTTATCCCCCATATTCATTGAATATAGCATGAAGTAGGGGTTTTCCTTTTTTTCCCTGCTCTCCAAATAGTGTGTCAGACTTTACAACTTCATCAATTAAAAATTCACTCTTTTCCCATTGATTTATGATTACTTCTTTATTATATATCAAGTTTTTACATATAGATATATGCAAATAGATCTGTTTCTTTGTACTCAGTTTCTTTATATTGACCTGTTTCTTGTCTTTACTAACAGCATACTGTTTTTATTATTATGACTTTGTACATCATTTGGAATCTGGTGTGTTGTCATCCTCTATGATATCACAGAGGCTTGGCACAGGAGATATAAACAATGGCAGATTTTTTTTTTTTTTAAGTAAGATGGTTTCAATATAAAGAATTAGGTGGTTACAAAATTTCTGGGATGGTTGAAGGTGAGGGTTTGAGGCTGGACTCTTGTAAAGATATCCTTACCCTACAGAATTGATCTAGGAAGCTACTGCTGCCTGGGAGGCTTTTTGAGTGACTCCACATTCAAGAATTCACCACCAGCAATGTCTGCAAGCTTGGAGAATGGACAACAGAATGCTGATGCAGAAAAACTTCCCACCTCTGAGCCTGATTGTCAGAGGAAAAGCCACAAAAGTCCTCCGGGTACTTTAGACAGCACGTAATTTGCAGCCTGAATATTGGCTGCAAGTGAGTCAGAGAAAATTAACTAGCTGTTGCTTTCCTCTCTGACCAGAAATAGCGTGGAATGGACATTGACACTGCCTGTTAACAGTTTCCAGACATGCTTCTTTGTTCTTTGATTCAAAACTAATTTAGCTCTTTGAGGACTTTACCTTCCCACATTTATTTAAAACTGAATTTGTAGATTTTATCAAAAGTACAAGCTTAACTTTTGATTGGGATTACACTGACTATACAGATTATTTTGAGGGAAAAATGCTATATATACGCAAATACATTATTCAATAAAAACAACTATTTAATGGCATTTATTCAAGTCTCCTCCCATGTATTTTAGTAGGGCGATAATTTTTGTCTTGCACTGTTAGGTTGATTCCTAGAAGTCACTTACATCAGTCAGTCTATGAAGTGTTTTATTTTCTAGACTGCTGTTGTTGAAATAGTAAATTTTGTAAGATTATTGTGGATCTACCACCCTTGTTGACCTCATTTCTTTTAATACTTTGTTAATTTCATTGGACTTTCTACATAGTTAATATATTTTCTATAAAAATTTTCTCTCCTTTTTCATCTTACAACTATTACCTTTTTTCTTGTCTTATGTCATTATTATGTTTAAGCTATCAATATTTTTGGGTGTCCTTGTAAATAATCTTAGATTTATTTTTTTTTTTCCTGAATTGTTCCATTAAGTTTGCTGTATGTTTTTGGTATATTGATCTTATCACAACAAGGAAATTTCATCTTATAATAAGTTTCACTGTTTAATTTTTATTTTTAATGGGACTAGATATCCTCAAAGACATTTTTTTGGAAACTATTAAGATAACCTTGTAATTTTTCTCTTAGACCTCTAAGGTGGCAAATCATGGCAATGGGTTTTTTGTTGTTGTTGTTGATGACCTATCTTTTAATTTTGGGGATAAAACCCACTCAGTTGCCATGTGTGTGTTATTTTTACTGAACTTTTAGAATTAGTAAATTCATATTGATGATTACTGTGTCTATTTTCATGAGTAAATTGAACCTGTAATTATTTTCTCCCACTTATTTAATTTTGCAATGAAGAGTCTTCTAATCTCATTAAGTGGATTTGATATCATTTTCTGTTTTTCTATTTCTGAAACACCTTTCATAAGAGGATATATTTGTCAATGAAGTTTGGTAAGACTTTATATGGAAACATGTTGGCTAGAATATTTTGAGGTATGGATGATATTCAAGTGACAGCTTTTGCATTTTGTTTTTGTCAGATTTTAAGTGATCAGGTTTATTATATAACTCTTCATAGTACTTGTTTGTTTTTTTCTTATATTTGTAATACTTACTCTGAAATTTGTTTTGATGTTATATTTGTTCTCTTTTTCTTTTTACTTGAATGTTCCTGCCAGATTTTTGCCCATCTTGCCAATATTACTCTTTTCTAATATTTGGTTCTCACATTCATTGCTGCCCATAACTTTCTTTGTTTCCTTTTTTTTTTTTTCCAAACAGAGATATCTGCTTACTTTGTCATTGCCAATCATTTGTGTTTTCTTATGAAAACAACTCATTTTCTTCACATTTCCCTTTATCTACATCTTAGAAATTATCTTCTGTGGCTTTCACTATCATTTTATTAGTGTTTTAGGATATTTGCTTTATGTTACTTTCTTTAAAATAAGGTTTACTTATTATATTACTTAATGTCTAGACATATGTGCATTTTTAGGTATTTCACTGTTAATTTTCAGTTTTATTACTTGATAAAGAAATAGAATGTAAACTGTTGATTTTTTAGTATTTAGATTTCCTTTGTGAATTTGTAGTGTCTTAAGTTAATTCCAAATACTTGGGAAGTTAAAAAAAAAATTAAAAAAAAAAAAAAACACAGGAAGTTTGGAAAAATCACCCATGAGCTCAACACCTTGGCCAAAACACATTTTTAAGATTCATTTAATGTCTATTGTCTTAATGATAGAATATAAGATGATACATTAATTCAGCCAACAAATATTTGTACATCACCTATGACCTGACATTATTTGAGTTCTGCCTGATAAAAAAAAAAAATTACTTTGTGTACAGCAGAATTTAGTGTCCATTTATGTTCAGTAATAATGACATGGAATTCCAATTAAGTTCCTGCTAATGTTAAGGATTTTGTGTTCCTGTTTTTTTTTTTTTTTTTAAGATTTTATTTATTTATCTGACAGAGAGAGAGATCACAAGTAGGCAGAGAGGCAGGCAGGGGGGTGGGGAATCAGTCTCCCTGCTGAGAAGAGAGCTGGATGTGGGGTTCAATTCCAGGATCCTGAGATGACCCTCAGGTCATGAGATCATTACCTGAGCTGAAGGCAGAGGCTTAACCCACTGAGCCACCCAGGTGCCCCATATGTTCCTTTTGAAGGGGAAGTTAGTGAATCAATAACTTCAAGGAGAATTATTTTAGTATATTCTGTTTTCATTGACCAGTTTAGAAAAATTGAATATTGAGAAAAGTGGATGCTAGGGAACCGAAGAGAACACATGGGACACTGAAATTAAATTTTGCTCGATTTACAATCTATGCTATGAAGTAATCATTACATCCAAATTTAATCATTTGTGAATATTATCCAGAAATCTCTGCATCTGAACTCATCTCCGTAAAGGACACTTCCTCCTCAAATTTGATTTAATTTGTGTTTAGCAAATTATTCTCTTTCCTTCCTGGCCCAATATGTCAATATCTAACTGTGTTCTTGAACTTGTAAACACCAACACTGAGGAAATGTCTTCTCCAAATAATGATGGTGAGAAAAAGTGAGGCTCATAGTCAGGATATTTTGCATGCAGTCCTACATAGAAGCAGGAGAATAGACAAATGTTGGGAATGCAATAATAGAAGAAAAATAACACTCAAAAAATTACTGTTTGGATAATCAGTGTAGTGACAAATTTGATTAATGCAATCATGCACTTGGGTCTGTAGCTCACTATTGTATAATCTTGAAAGCCCCTGATTTCTCTAACCTTAATTCCATCACTCAGTGCTTGCTTGATTCTTATAAAGAAGATAATAATTGTTGGGACAATACCAAGAGTAATATGCACAACAAACTTCTCTGAATGTAGGTGTGGGTTATAGTGTTCAATATGTGCATGGATGGTCAAACAGCAGGGTTTGGACAATCTTGCTCTGGCTCAGAGGTCCAAAGTTGATGGTACAAGTATTCCATGGGGATGGATGCATGAGAGCTCCTGGTCTCTTCTGGGCTCGCTGGAGAAGCCATACCTTCTTGTTGTTAAGATCTTTCTCTATTCTTGACCCTTCCCACCTCTTCTGGAAAAGACAGAGTATAGGCATTCCAAACCATTGTGAGCCTGGTCTCTATGGTTCATTTCTGAACTGCTTCTATATTTGTGACTGCCTGTCAGCTCTGAAGGACAGAGAAGTTTGGCAAAAAGAAAAAGCAGTCTTTGATTTAATGGTAAGGAGAGCAAGAAAAGAGGGAAAAATATGTAAAGGAAATAAGACTTTCTTTTCTTTTTCCATCCAGTTGCCTGAGAAACAACCAAAAGAAGCTCAAGAAAGTAAACCAAGATGTAGAAAGAAAATGGTAAGCACACAGTGTATCATAGCATTTTTCTCTGAGTTTACCTCTGTCTCACAAGGGACTGAGAATCTCTCATAAGAGCTAGCATCTTATTTTAGAACTCATAGAGGTACAATCACAGAATCCTTTGGTGATTACCTCTAAGACTTGGGAGAAGGTTAGTTGGAGGTTCTAAATAAAAGAAAAAGGCTCTTAGTGCACATGTTTCATTGCTTCATGGTTATATAAAATACATGTACAAACCTATAAGTGAAATAAAGGATGCTTATTTTAGGTTGGCTGTTTACAATGGCCACACCTCCAATTTATTCCTCACAGCATAAGCCTTGGAAAATATAAATTTCATCATGTCTTTCCCTTGAGACCCTTCAGTTGTTCTCCAGTGCATTCAGAAAAAAATCCAAACTTCCCTGGGGACTACAATCCTGAAAGGATTGACCCTTGCATATTTCTCTGATTTTATTCCACACCCTCCACCCTCACCCACCATCTTCCAGGAATTCTGCTGTCATTTCATGTTCTGAAGCCACTAAGCTCAGGCTAAACTCAGTGCCCTAGTGCGCACTGCTCTTTTAGCACTCATGATATTTATTCTCCATTCTTGTGCTTCATAGCATCTCTTCCTGGAAATTCTGACTCTCACAGTCTCCACCAGCAAATATCCCTGAGTACACAATATGAAAACATTGCTTTCACACCCCATGGATTTCCTGCACTGCCCACTATGTCTTTCTATGATCTAGTAACTTTATATTAGTTTAGCATTTTATAGTCCATCTTCCTTTATAGACTGTGTGGTCTTTGAGGTTCTGACCACAGCTTGACTTGCCTATCTGTTGCCCAACCCTTAAAAGATACTCAATGGAAAAAGAGAAAAAGAAAAAAAGAGTGGAAAAACAATAGCTATCTGGACACTGATATCTTACCCCAGCTTAGATAAACCCTGCCTTGCTTGCTGACAGTGGGATTTCCATATTTGCACTCAACCTCTTTCCTAATCATTGCATCTCAAGAACTGTTTTTTTATCTGAGATGGTCGTTCCTCTCTAAGTGTGAAAGGGTGAGGGATTGAAGGGAAGGCCCATATTTATTGCTGATATGAAATGATGTTTGCAGGGATCAGCCATTACCTAAGTATTTTGCTTACATTTTCTCCACAGAAAGGAAAAAGACAGTGGGGTGGCTATGCCATCATTGTAACTAACTCCACTTTACAATGTGTGGCTGAAGAGGTGTTATTGAACCCAGGTCCTTTTCTCAGGCTGCCACAAACCAGTTCTGTACAATTTAAAATCATTTAAACTTGGCTTTTGCTTTTTTGCGCCTAAAATCAGATCTGTGCTAGGTGATGTTCTTCCATTCTTCCCTTTTAAAGGAACTGAAGTGTTGACATTGCAAAATACAACCAAGTCTTTATTAAAAACAGACAGTAACTAAATGAGAAATTAAATGTCTCCAGGGTGTCTCCATCTGAACAATTTTTTAAAAATTTTATTTTAATTTCAGTGTAGTTAACATACAATGTTGTATTAGTTTCAGGTATACAACTTAGTGATTCAACACTTATATAAAACACCCAGTACTCATCATGGTAAGTGCACTCCTTAATCCCCATCAGCTACTTCCCCCATGTCCTTTCACACTTTTCCTCTGGTGACCATCAGTGTGTTCTCTACTGGTAAGAGTCTATATATTGGTTCCTCTCATTTTTTCTCCTTTGCTTTTTTTTTTTTTTTTTTGCTTCTTTTTAAACAATTTTTATTTTATTTCATTTGTTTTAGATAGAGAAAGCATGAGCAGTGGGGAATGGGCAGAGGGGGAAAGAGAGAGAGATAATTTGAAGCAGGCTCCCAGCACAAAGCCTGACCCAGGATTCAATCTCACAACACTGAGATCATGACCTGAGCTGAAATCAGGAGTTGGAGACTTAACTGACTGAACCACCCAGGCACCACTGTTTTCTTCCTTAAATTCCATATAAGTGAAATCATAATGATATGCATTTTTCTCTGACTGTAGTTCCAACCACAACATTGCAAATGGCCAGATTTCATTCTATTTGATAGCTGAGTAATATTCCATTGTGTATATATACCAGTTCCTTATCCATTCATCAACTGATGGGCATTTGGGCTTTTTCCATAATTTGACTATTGTTGATAACGCTGCTATAAACCAGGATCCATTTATCCATTTGAATTAATGTTTTTGTATCCTTTGTGTAAATACCTAGCGGTGAAATTGCTGGATCATAGGATAGATTTATTTTTAACTTTTTGAAGAATCTCCATACTGTTTTCCCCCAGTGGCTGATAATTTTATGAATGGGACTCACAGATCTTTAACCAGTTAGTTTGGTGAGGAAAAACTCAACTCTTCTGACTACCTGAGTCAATTACAATCAATAATATTATGTAAGACATACATGGGCTAGAATTAAATTCAGTTTCATTTTGGCTAATTTGATCAGATCATGTTCTTTGAATAAAGTTACTTTTGCTACATCTTCCTGAGTCAATTTTGGTTATTTCATTTCACTGGAATATTATCAATTAATTCATGATTTTAAACATATTTATCAAAGTTATTGTGTGAGCTCTTTCAAGTCATTTAGCTTTTTAAAATTTAGGTTTATAGACATATAGCACAGCAAAATTCATCCATTTTAGGTAAATTATTTCATAGGTTTAGAAAAACATACAGTCATGTGACCACTGTCTCAATTAAGATACAGAATATTTTTTCACCCTTCCCTCACTGATAACCCCTAGCAACCACTGATCTGATTTCTGTTTTTTTTTTTTTTTTTTTCCAGGATGTCACAGTATCATTGCTTTTATGTTTATTATGTTCTTATTCTTGCTGTCCTTAGATTTTTTTTCATTGTTGCTATTCTAATTACTTTAAATTGAAACTTAATTTTTGTGTTTTCAGTTTTTTCATATTTAAAAATAGGGACATGTAAAAATATAACTTTTTCTCCAATAGTGTTTCTCTTTTAATTTTTTTATTTAAATTCAATTTAATTGACACATTGTGTATTATTAGTTTCAAAGGTAAAGTTTAGTGATTCATCAGTCGCATATAACACTCAGTGTTCATTGCATCTGGTGCCCTCCTTAATGTCCATTATTGCCACTCACTTAATGTCCCATACCCCCACTCACCTTACCTCCAGCAACCCTCAGTTTGTTTCTTATAGTTAAGAGTATCTTATGGTTTCTCTCTCTGTCTGATTTTGTCTTATTTTGTTTTTCCTTCCCTTCCCCTATGTTCATCTGTTTTGTTTCTTAAATTCTGCATATCAGTGAAATTATGACATATTTGTCTTTCTCTAGTTGATTTATTTTGCTTAGCATACTACATTCTTGTTCCATACACATTGTTGCAAATGATAAGATTTTATTCTTTTTATGGCTGAGTAATGTTCCACTATATATTACTTCTTCATCTATTCATCTGTCAATGGACATCTGGACTCTTTCCATGTTTTGGCTACTGTGGGCCTTGCTGCTATAAACATTGGGGTGCATGTGCCCCTTCAAATTACTATGTTTTCGTCCTTGGGGTAAATACCTAGGAGTGCAATTGTTGCGTTATAGTGTAACTCTATAACATTAAAAATTTTATCTCACCTACTTCCATTCAAGTACCAAGCACAAAGTTGTAAACATGAACTAGATTAAAAAAATAATAATAATACAAAAATCAGAAAAAATCTATTAAAGTCAGATAGATGTAATCATCTCTTAATAATTATTGTTAAAAATATTTAATAAAAAAAGGAAGTGGCTAGCATAAAGAATGAAAACAATGGAAAAGAATGATAAAATCTTTAGAGATTAAAACAACATTGAAAGCATCAATAAGTACAACCAAGTCTTTATTTTCTTTTTGTTACTTTCAGAGGTAGAAATTAATGATTCATCAATTTCATACAGCACCCAGTGTGCATTAGTTCAAGTGCCGTCCATAATGCCTGTCACCCAATTAATCCTTCCCCCACCCACCTCCCTTCCAGCAACCCTCAGTTTGTTCCCTATAGTTAAGAGTCTCTTATAGTTTGTCTTCCTCTCTGTTTTTATCTTATTCTTTTTCCCTCCCTTTCCCTATGTTCCTCTATTTTGTTTCTCAAATTCCACATATGAGTGAAGTCATATGGCATTTGTCTTTCTCTGACTGACTTATTTTGCTTACCTTAATACCCTCTAGTTCTAATCAGGAGGCATGCAGGTTTCTCCCACTCTGAGGGTTCTGCACAGTGCCAAATGGCACGTGTCCTCCTAGGTGGCAACCAGAGTCCTGGGTTGTGAATCAGGGATCCCCAATCTGGAGGGCTTGGGGGCTAAGCCTCTGGGGATGGAAGCTAGAAAATCCAACCTAGGGTTAGGGTTAAGGCCTAGGGACATGACAGCTCTGATCTGCCAGGGCTGGGGCAGGCTCCCCCAATGGCTGAGTGGAGGGCAGGTGTCCAGAGGATAGTCAGGTCCCTGGTTGGTGGTCCTGGGGGGCACCTACACTGGGGGTGGCCTCATGGGAGCATGCAGGTTTTTCCTGCTCTGAGGGTTCTGCACAACTCCAAATAGCACAGTTTCCTCCTGGGTGGCAGTTGGAAACATTGTTGCAAATGGCAATATTTCATTCTTTTTGCTGGGTGAGTAGTAATCCATTCTGTCTCTATCCCATGTGTTGTTAAAGGAAATAGTATTATTGTCCAATATTTTGTTACTTTGTATTTTATGTGTTCTTGGACTTGAACTGTTTTTAATTCCAAATATCTAAAAAATATTTTTATAATAAATTCTGATTTTATTGCATTATTATCAGTATCAGTATCTATGTTATTTCTGCTTGTGAATTTTATTGAAGTTTTTTTTTCATATATTGTGCATCAACTTCAAAATAAGTTACTTATAGTCTTTAAATTGTTGTTTCTTCATATGGAGAATAATTTTACAATTAAAAATACTGCAACTTTAGATTGTGGTTGTAAAGGAAACATTTTAAAAATTAACAATCAAACATTAGCACATCCTTGGATGCAACCAGAATTTAATAAGTGTAAGCTAGCAATTTGTCTATTGTGTTCCATAGACTTTGGAAATTCCATGATAATTTTTTAAGGATCATAATTTGAAATTTATCTATTGGAAACCTGATTAATTATGTATTTTAGATATTCTATGTCCTTATTTTTCTTATTTTTTGGTACTGTCTGAGAGAAATTAATCTACTATTTCATTTGAGTTAATGTTCATTTTTTTCTTTGCTCCATATTGATTCTAAATATTTCAGTAAATAACATTTCATAAGAGTTGCAGGCATTTGTGTTTTTGTCTTTATCATGTCATCTCCTGTCCATCTTTGTTCTGAAATGAGAGGAGGGAAATTTGTTAGTCTTTATCTTCTAATGTGTATGAAGACCAATGTGGTGGAAGGGTCAAGATAGGTGGGGGAATGGCAGACAACTCCCCTTCAGGAAGCAAAGAGAATAAGGGTGATTAACATAATAACATAATATTGTCTGAATTAGTTTTTACATATAAGGCTGCATTGGTTTCCTTGGATTGCCATAACAAAGTAGGACAGACTGGAAGATTTAACAGAAATTTATTTTCTTTCAATTCTGTAGTATCTAAGTCCAAGATCAAAGTGCTGGCAGAGCAGGTCTCTTATGAGTTCTCTCACATATATTTATATGCCTGTCTTCTCTCTGCATCTTACTCTATGCCTGTTTGTGTCCAAATTTCATCTTATAAGGGCAGCACTCAAATTAGATGAGGGCTCACCTCAACAACCTCATTTTAATTTAATTCCCTCTGTAAAGACCCTGTCTCCAAAAATAGTCACATTCCAAGATACTAGGCATTAATCTGGGGGGAATACACCCTTAAATCCATAACATAGGTCAGTAAATAACAACAACAAAAACAGGGAAAGAAAATGAGAAAGCAAGCAAGAAAAATAAAGAAAGGAAAGAAAGAAAGAAAGAAAGAAAGAAAGAAAGAAAGAAAGAAAGAAAGAAAGAAAGAATGAATCCAGGGATATTTCAAGTCTGCAAGTTACAGCTAGTCACAATTCCCAAAACTATCTCACTGTGTTTAAGACAGGCAGTCAATAGTGATAATCCACAGCATGGATTTAGACTGATTTGGATTTTATGACCAGATCCCCAAAGACAGAGCTGGCTGAGCAAGTTAGATTCATCATGCACCAACTTCTTTGTAACATGACTTTGCATTCTAATATTCAAATGAAGTTTACAGTCATCTTCTGATTTTTCTTTTCCATAAAGAACTCATAGGTTTTATAATCCCTGGTACTAGTGTCCTTGACAGTACATTTTCACTTCTTGGTGAGTCATAGAATTCTTGTTGTCATCCTATTTTCCTCACCACTTTGTGGACTTGGCTTCAGATGGGAAGTCTGGGCTACCTTAAGTTCAGCTCATTGATGAATTAGTTTCACAGTAAGTGTTTTCTTCATGGATGTTTTAGAATTTATTATTTATTCTTGAAGTTCAGAAGCTATTACATATCTCAAGGTTCCATGTGATTTGTAGGGTTTTTCCCCCATAAAATACATTTTCAGATTGAAGTCTTTATTTCAGATATCTTATTACACCTTTCAATACTTTTGTTTCATTTATGTAGTTCTCATCTCCAAGATTAACAACTTTGTGTATGATGATTTCTTTCCATTTTATTATTCTTTCTCTAACCATACTACAGTCTCATTTTCTATCACTTAGTGTTCACTTCCAGCATGCATTACATGCTGCCAGCTTTTTAGAAATGCCCTTTGCAATGACATAGAGGGAACTAGAGGGTATTATGCTAAGTGAAATAAGTCTATTAAAGACAAATACTATTTGATTTCACTCATATGTGGAATTTAAGAAACAAAATAGAAGGATATACATGAAGGAAAGTAAAAATAAAACAAGATAAAAATAGGGAAACAAACCATAAGATTCTTAACTATAGGGAACAAATTGAGGGTTGCTGGAGGGGAGGTGGTGGGAGATGGGGTGATTGGGTGATGGGCACTAAGGTGGCCACTTGAATTAATGAGCACTGGGTGTTTTATGAAACTGATGAATCACTAAATTCTACTTCTAAACTAACGAAAAGAAGAAAGAAAGAAAGAAAGAAAGAAAGAAAGAAAGAAAGAAAGAACTGGATGTGGATGCTTTTAATATTGTTTTAATCACTGAAGATTTTATCATTCCTTTCCATTGTTTTCCTGCCTTATGATAGCCACTTTTTGTCTCCATTTATTATTATTTTTAACAATAACTATTAACAGATGATTGCATCTATATAACTCTAATAAATTTTTCTGTTTTGTATATTATTATTTTTTAATCTTGTTCTTGTTTACAACTTTGTGCTTAGTACTTTGACTGGAAGTAGATGAAATAAAGAGGTGTGTTCATACCTTTGTATATTTGTTTGGGGAAGATACAGAGAAGAATTTAAGTTAAGATTCAGGTTTTGCTTTTGGTGTGTTGTCTCAGACTGCCTCCTCACTGAATACTGTCTTCCTTCTGCAAGTGGGAACATTTCTTTTCCATGTATATTGCCCTCTTTGATGTGTGCAGGCCATTAGAAGATTCTTTGTCTATCTTTCCCCTCAAGTTTGGGGTTCTGGGATGTGGAAATAAAAGCTGACATGTTGACTACTCCATCCTCTCTTAACCACTTACTCGCTGTTGTGGTGTAGAATTGTGTTCTTGTAGAGATAATCTCTATTTCTCTCATCACCAGCCTACATTTAATAACATTGGTCACTGTAAATTTGTGTTCAAAATTTTTGGAATTTTCTTATTTACCTTTAAAGATATAGACACCCTCATCAAGGACAGCAGAAAAATAAATTGACTTTCAATATTCTCCATTAAATTGTTCCAAATTTTAGGGGTGCCTTAGTCAGTTAAGTGTCTGCCTTTGGCTCAGGTCATGATCCCAGGGTCCTGGGATCAAGCCCCATGTAGGGCTCCCAGGTAAATGGGGAGCCTGCTTCTCCGTCTCCCTCTGTAGCTCTCCCTGGTTGTGAGTACACTCTCTCTCTCCCAGTCAAATAAATAATTAAAATCTTTAAAAAAGTAAATTGTTCCAAATTTTACTATATTGCACATCTGTTCTTCATACACATGGTATTGTACATAGTATGATAATCTAGTAATTCCTTCAGCTTCATAAAATATGGAATTTTATTCTCTGCTTCTTATTATTTTCTTAGATTTTTTTTTAAAGAGAGAGTGCACACATGTGAGAGAAAGGGGGGAAGGAAAGAGGGAGAAGGAGAGAGAATTTCAATCAGGCCTCACACCCAACCCACTGCAGGCCTCCCTCTCATGACCCTGAGATCATGACCTCAGTTAAATCGAGTTGGACACTTAACTGATGGAGCCACCCAAGCACCCCTCTTTTCCTATAATTTTGTTTTTTCATCTTTATTTAGTTATAATTGACAAAATTCTAAAATATTTAAGGTGCATGTGGTGCTATATGTATATTTTGGGAGTAGAATCCCCCTCATCAGGTTGACTCCCACAGTGTTATTGACTATATTTCATGGTTTTTTGGAAACAACTTGAGGCTTTTAATTTTAATTAATATTTGAGTTGCAAGTCTACGAATGACATTAGGTTAATAGCAATAAAATCTTTCTTTCAAGTGTGTTTTCAGCTTCAGATGACTGGGCTGTGTCATGTTATTATCTCTTTCCTTTGCAGGCAGGAAATGACTACATTTGAGAGACAAAATCAAGTACAGGATAAGAAAAGTAAGTCACTGCTTCATAATATTTTTCATACAAGGGAATTTGAAAATTTAACATCTAAATTAGTTCTGATACTATGTTAGGTTTGAAGGAAATACAGCTTTAAGCCCTTATAGGGATGTCTTAGTCCTTCATTTTTTTTTGTCTAACAAAATTGATCTCATTAATTTTTGCATGAAAGTAGTATCTGTGTGTGATTTATTTCATTTTCCTTAAATTTTTAAGTTTTTACAAGTTTATTATTCACTTTTTGTTGAAGGTAATTATTTATCTTGTTAAAAAATCTAATAACTCAATAGAGTGTTAACCAGGTGACATGTAAAATACAGAAAAAGAAAGAAGCTAGATTCTTAGCTATTTGTCCTATTAGAAATATTTCATTCTTTCTTGGATAACCTGAATTTCTTCTTTTTTTCTTGTGAATTATACTTTTTTACTTATTAAGTTTTTATTTTAATTCTAATATAGTTAACATAAAATGTTATATTAGCTTCAGATGTATAATATGGTGATTCAACAATTCAACACATTATTCAGTGCTCATCACAAATGCACTCCTTAATCCCCATCACCTATTTCACCCAACCCCCTCCAACTTCTCTCTCAGAACCATCAGTTTGTTGACGTGTTTTGTTTCTTAACTTCCACATATGAGTGAAATCATATGGTACTTATCTTCCTCTAACTGTCTTATTTTGCTTAGCAGTATACTATGTGGTTCCATTCGTGTTATTGCAAATGAAAGATTCATTCTTTTTTATTGCTGAATAATGTTCTGAGCTGTGTAAGTTCTTAACACATTTTGAATATTAACTCCTTAGCAGATATATCATTTGCAAATATCTTCTCCTATTGAATAGACTTCATTTTTGTTTGGCTGATGGTTACCTTTGCTCTGCAAAAATTTTTATTTTGGTGTAGTCCCAATAGTTACTCTTACCACTTTTATTCAACATTGTACTGGAATTCCTAGCCACAACAATCAAAGAAGAAAAAGAAATAAAAGGCATCAATTTGGTAAGTAAGAAGAAAACCTTTCATTTGCAGATGACATAATACTATATACGGAAAACCCTATAGACTCCACCAAAAACCTATTAGAACTGATAAATGAACTTAGCAAAATTGGGGAAAAAAAAACCTATGCAGAAATATGTGGCATTTCTATACACAAATAATAGAGGAAAGAAATTTTAAAAAAATCATCTCATTTACAATTGCATCAAAGAGAATAAAATACTGATTAAACGGAACCAAGCAGGTGAAAAACCTGTATCCAGAAAACTATAAAACATTGATGAAACAAACTGAAGACAACACAAATAAATGGAAATATATTCTATGTTTATGGATTGCAAGAAACAGTTTATTAAAATTTATATACTACCCAAAGCAGAATACAGATTCAAAGCAAACCCTATCAATATGCCAACATTTTTCACAGAACTGGAACAAATAATCCTAAAATTTGCATGGACCACAAAAGACTCTGAAGAGCCAGAGAAATTTTGAGCAAGAGAGCAGAGAAGTTAAGAGCAAAACCGGAAATATAACAATGTCAGATTCTGAGTTGTACTTCAAGCAATAGTAATCCAAACAGCACAGTACTAGCACAAAAATAGACACAAAAATCAATGGAACAGAATAGGAAAATCAGAAATGGACCCATAACTCTATGGTAAATTAATCTATAACAAAGGAGTCAAGAATATATAATTGGAAAAAGTCTCTTCAACAAATGTTGAAATTGTGTCTGGAAAATGGAACAGCAACATGCAAAAGAATGAAATTGAAACATTTTTTTACACCCCACCCCCAATACACAGATCAAAATGAGTTAAAGATCAAAATTAATTAAACACCTAACTGTGAGACCTGAAACATAAAAGTCCTACAAGGAAACATGGGCAGTAATTTCTTTGATATCAGTTGTAGAAGCATTTTTTTTTAAAGATATATCTTTTTAAAAAATATATTTTATTTATTTACTTGTCAGAGAGAGAGCACAAGCAGGGGAGCAGCAGGCAGAGCAGGGAGAAGGATAAGCGGGCTCCTGGCTCAGCAAGGAGCCCAATGGGGGACTTGATCCCAGGATCCCAGGATCATGACCTCAGCTGAAGGCAGATGCTTAACTGACTGAGCCACCCAGGCATCCCTAAAGATATGTCTTATTTGGCAAAGGAAACAAGAAAAATTAAACTAATGTATGTGATTTATTTTGAGCAACACTTTATAAATTCCCATGGAAGGAATTAATATAAATACTGCTTATTTAAATTTCAATATAGATGTTTTAAATATAAATTGTATAAATAAAAATTTTTATATAGATGTTTTGATTAAAGAGGACATATACTGCACGGAGCGCTGGATGTTAAATGTAAACACGTGATCTTGGAACACTACATCAAAAAGTAATGACATACTGTATGGTGACTAACATAACATAATGAAAAATTTTAAAATCATAAATAAATAAATAAATAGGGCCATTTTGAAAATTAGCTGTGTTAATTATTTCTTTTATCCTTTCCTTTCCTTATTCTTTTTCTTTTTTTCTTTTTTTTTTTTTTTCCTGCTCTAGCACTCTCCCCCCCTTTTTTTTTACATAGTCACCAGGTATAGTAATCATGTTCCTACCCAGAATGAACAATTATGAACAGCAGTGCTTGTGCCCTGGGGACAGACATATATGAAAGAAGCTCTCTTCTTATCTTCTTACAGCAAAGTGTATTGAAAAAATTGTGTAGCCTCATTATTTGGAACTTTGCATTTATCACCTCTCATCTCATGGTGGATTGCTTCTGGCACTACGGTTTCATTAAGCACATTTCATGGGCCATGCAGTAGAGGTATTTCACCAAACATCATCACCTCCATAAACAGAAAAATATATTTTAAAAGCACCATAGCTTATTGCACATTAAATTGTCACATAAGACAATTATATTGATTGTATTTATTGTATTATGTGAATATTATTGTACTAAAGCATGGTAGAAAATATATTTCTAACTGTGGGTTTAGTTTAAAACAAAAACAAAAACAAAAATAAAAACACCTCTGCCAAAATGTAACCACAGACTCTAAAGGACAATTGTTAATCTTAATTTTAATTACCCTGTCTCTAGCACTTACAAATATTGTTCAACATCTCCTTCCAAAAAGTGTTTCTTTCTCCATTTCTTTGACTTCTATACTTTACTGTTCATGTCCCAGGTCACAGCCACCTTTCAGATATCTGACTTGCCCTTTTTTTGGCAGACTCCTAAAGTGCTGGTGTTCCTCAGTAACCCAGCCTTGGGTTTTTTTCTACTTTCCTAAAGAATTTGTGTCTGATTAATCTTTCTTCTTTTAATCTCTGACAAGATTTTCTGGTAAGGCTATCTACGGGAGATGACATTTATTAAGAATTTTTTTTAGAGGCACTGGGGTGGCTCAGTGGGTTAAAGCCTCTGCCTTCAGCTCAGGTCATGATCCCAGGGTCCTGGGATCGAGCCCTACATCGGGCTCTCTCCTCAGCAGGGAGCCTGCTTCCTCCTCTCTCTGCCTGTCTCTTTGCCTACTTGTGATCTCTGTCTGTCAAATAAATAAATTTAAAATCTTTTAAAAAAGAATTTTTTTTATTATACAAATGAAAATACTTCTCTAGTTACAAACAATTACCATTTTCTGCTTCATCTTGCCAACTTCACAAGTTCCATTTCTCATTAAATTTGTTCTTTTCAATTAAAATTTTAAAGTATTAAGCCTTAAAGTTGTTCATTATATCCCGGAATGTGTTTAATGTTTTCAGGATCTACAGTGGTGACTTCTTGTTCATTCCTAACATTGTTTCTCTGTGTATGAATGCATGTGTGTGAGTGTGTGTGTGTTTTCTATTTTATAATTAATTAGTCTTGCTAGAGTTCATTCACTTCATTCATATTTTTACAAAATCAAATTTTGATTATTTTAGTTCTCTATCATAGGAGAATCTCCTCTCAGGTCCAACTCCAACTGCTATATGGCTTACTCAAATTCTAAGAGATTCCCCAAACGCTGTGCTGTTTTACAGGAAAAGGAGATGCAAACTGATTTGGATGGATCTACCCTGAAATACCTCAGACTACTAAATCTGAAACTTCACTGACGTGCTGACACTTTAATTTTCCTTAAACATGCTGTGTGTTTAAAGTAGGCTAGGGATCCTGCTCCTTGCTGTTCACCTGGACTTAGTTTATGATCTCCGTGTAGTAGACCATTACTATGTCCTGTGGATATATGAAAGGATCAATATTCCTGCAAAGCAGATTTTGACAGAGAGAGAGAAATGGACAATGCCCTGAAAAACACTATGGTAGCTGTGCTTGTGTTTTTTCCTGTAAAATAAAGGCATCTTAGATGTCTGTCATTATATTACTTTAGTCGAGTAAACACACCCATTCACAATAGTAAATGTGATTGAATTTCCCATTTAAATTTGTGAAACTGTCCAAAAGGGGAAATTAAATGGAGAAGTTGGGGGGTAAGGAGTGTACTTGTGATGAGCACCAGGTGTTGAATGGAAGTTTTGAATCACTGTATCATATACATGAAACCAATAGAACACATTAGCATGTTAACTATTTGTAATTAATTAATTTAATTAATTCTCTTGCTTTATTTAAATTAAAGCTTATTAACATATAGTGTATTTTTTTTAACTTTGTTTTTTCAGTATTCCAAGATTCATTGTTTATGCATCACACCTAGTGCTCCATGCAATAAAAGACCTCTTTAATACTCACCACCAAGCTCACCCCATCCCCCACCCCACCACCCCCACCAAAAAACCCTCAGTTTTTTTCTAAGAGTCCACAATCTCTCTTGGTTCATTTCTCCCTCCAATTTACCCCAACACCGTTCTCCTCTCCTTCTCCCAATGACCTCTGTGTTATTCCTTATGCTCCACAAGTAAGTGAAACCGTATGATAATTGACTCTCTCTGCTTGACTTATTTCACTCAGCATAATCTCTGCCAG